CGGTTAGCTTTTTATTTCCTCCACCCAAATTTGTAGTTATTGATTTGTTGAATTTGAAAAAATTAGTCCTTTTTTGTTCCTCAGGATCGTAGACAGGGTTTGAATACGAACAGTACTGATTTGGAGATCGAAAGTAACAATTTTGGTAACATAAATGGATCAGACAGGCTTCCTGGATCTGTTCTGCTTGCAAGGGCAAGACTTTTCGAAAGATTGAGAGGTGTTTCTTTGTCTAGTAACAGGTTTGTTCCTCAAATCCTATAACTTTTAATGGGTGTTTAGGGAATTTGATTTTGCTCTTGATTCTTGTTAGGATTCAAAAGCCTTTTGATTTTCATTCATGTGTAGAATTAGGATTTGGTGTTTGCCTAAAGTGTATAGAGCTTCAAAAGTTTTAACCTTTTGTCTTTTTGATTCAGTCGAGCCAGCAGAGTTTCATTGGGAGATGATCAGATGGAGTCTTCAGGAGTTAGGTTTTCGTTTTCTGCGGATCCGAATTATCAACCAGAAGTGTCTTATGATTTGAACAAGAAACCACAAGGTCTCACACAAGGTGCTATTAACTGTTTAAATCGCCAAACTTTTAGCTCGGCCAAGGTTGAAACCGAAATGAGAGATTGTAGTATATGTTTAGAGAGTTTCACAAAAGGCGACATACTTATAACCTTACCTTGTACCCATAGTTTCCATTCTTCTTGCTTAAACCCTTGGCTTAAAGCTTGTGGAGATTGCCCGTATTGTCGTAGAGCCATAGCTGAAAGCATAGAAACTTGTAAATAGACCTTTGCCTAACCGTAGCCACGCACATCATGTCTTCTTTTTCTTCTTGCTTCGAGTTTTGTCGCCCCATCGAGTGTTTATTGTCACATGTTTGTACTTGTTAACGGTTTTCGCTTTGCCTAACCATAGCCACGCACATTTTGTCTTCTTCTTCTTGCTTCGATTTTTGTCGCCCATCGAGTGTTTTATCGTCACATGTTTGTACTTGTAACTGTTTTCGTCTGTGCCATTGGGTAGTAGTTTGTATTGTATGTTTTTTGTCGATATGAACTTTTCTTCTCTGTGATATCTCTCTTCTACTGTCTTGTTGATTATCGAATAGGCAAACACTTAGTCCAAATCTTGATCCGACAAATTGTTTATGTTTCGAGGTTAAAGCTCAACAACTTTGCAGTAGTATCATCTTCAGAAATTTTTATGGTCTCCATCCGGATGTGTTTAAGCTGTGTTTCCTCGGGTTTAAAACGATGTCGTTTTCGTACATCGATGCATGTTACATATGTTGATGTTGAATACTTAAAAGATGCAATCAATATATAGCTTTAAAGGAAAGATTAATGAAAAAAGAGAAGACAGTTGTGCCAAAAAGCATTCTTTTTATGCTACAAAAGTAGAAAAATGGACCCCTTTCTTCATTATTATCATCTTCAATTCCTTTCATAAAATCCCATTAATGTTTTATAAATAGTATAACTTTCTCTATTGGTACCTAACATACCTCACTCTCTAACCACTACTACATTAACAATTCACACATTAACAATTCACACAAGAATGTCTTGAATTGTATTTTATTCACATCGATTTCATGTCTACAACAACATTAAATCCTTATGATTCAGACTCAAAACAACTTGGATCGGTTTGGTTTCAATTCGGTTTCAAATGAAAGATAAAACAAATTTGAACATTCAAGCAGCAATTCTCCTTCTTTTGCTGTTGCAAATCAATCCAATCACCTTACTCAAAAATATGGAAGGTGGT